TTATAAAATAATCAATATTCACTTAGAAACGAATGTTTAAACATTTGCCAGTTGCCTTCGCCTCCTATCCTAACGCTCAGAATCATTGCAAATACGTAAATCGCTCGTTATCAATAACCGGGAAGAAACGCATCAACGAATCAGGTTAAATCTTAGAAATTAATAATTATAAGATTGGTCAGTAGTAACTAAGGACATTTTGTAATTAAACAAAATGATATACGAAGGGAAATGAAAAGACATTCCATTCCACCGACAACGTTGTAATAGAAAGGACGTATAAAAATTACTTTATCAATTAAATTTGTTTTCCTTTAAAATTAGTTAAAAATCGTTTATTTAAATAGTTTAAATATAGTTGTCAAAGTTTTAATTTAAATCTTTATTGTTCTTTATTATTATCGTTATAATTTCTTTTTATTCAAAATTATCTATAAAACTAACGTGTTTCAAACTTTAATTACTTTGAGACTCAGGATTCCCTGAGGGCCCACGCAACAGTACCATCAAATCCCTAGTTCTTAGAATACGTATAGAGAACAGAGTGCTGTGGGAATCCACCACAATATTATCAGTTGCGAATACGCAACAGTTTAATTTAGTCGATAGTGCCTATCACTAGTTTCTGTCGCAAAGCGCCGCATGTGATGTGGACCTGATGCTTATCTCTGACCACCCTTTTTCTTAAGAGTGGCACATCCATATCCATAGTAATCCGTGGCCTCCACCAGCCGTAAGAGAATCCCCCACCAACAACCCCGTTAGAAAGAGAGGAAAGTCACTCCAGTCATTGTCATCTCTTTCTAGTGCTAACTTCATCCCTACCATAAGACCGCGCAGTCTATTATACATCATACACGTCTATGAGTGAGCCACATTTAAGATTCAATCTTTCAAAGGGTAGTAGAGAAGCTCAAATGGTATTTAAGGAAAGGGGAAAACTCATTCAGTATTTCTCACTACCAGGGTCCCAATCCTAAACATACAAATGTCAAATGCCAGTTAAAAATCAAACCATTTTCACAGTATTTTTTCTTTTAAAACATACATGACAATTTAAATATATGCCTTGTTAATTTCATATAAATAATTAAATTCTTAAATTATAATAATCATAGACCTTGATTGCTTACATTCCCTACAATCTTAGTTTAATTAGTTATATGTCATGTAAATTCAGTTATAAATGTTCCATAATGCAATGTATCCATCTTTTGCAGCTGTAGCCATTAAACATTTATCATCATATGTTTTTACCGTATTTAAAGAATACGCAATATCTTGTACAGTATCTCTATGCTGATTTAAAACAGCTAATGGTTTTAAATTTTTCCACGCATATATTCTAACACGGTTGTCCCATCCTCCAATTGCTACAATCTTAATATCAGGTCTAATAGTGATCACAGAAGTACCAGAATTTGTTAACGTAATTTTAGTTTGATCACACAATATATGATTGTCTAATAAAGTGAATACCTATAAATTACATATTTACAATTATATCAATGAAATACTAAAAAAGGTAATTTCCTAATAAATTAGTTAACAATGTTACAGTAAGTAAATATTTAAAAAATGTATCTCCTATTTACTGTAAATTCTATGCTCATTACACTCTCTTTTAAGTTATTATATTTAAGCATTACTAAATATTTTACCTGTAACTGATCAGAAGGGCCAGCAATAATTCCTTTCATTAAAGTACTATCAAAGTCCAAAGCCATTGGATATGGCTCTATTGTTAAATAATTTAAAGTCTTTCTTTGCCTAACATCCCATAGAATTAACTTACCACATTCATAGCCAACTAAAACCAAATTTTTATTTGTCAATGATTTCATTACCATTACTTCTCCTAAATTTTCAAAATTTATTGGACTCAGTTGCAGTTCCACATTAAATGTATCGGTAGATAATATTCCAACTTTGGATTCCTTAAGTGGTACTAACAGTTCTTTCTGAGAAAGTGTTTGAAACCTGCCATAAACATTATAAGTTTGTTACACTTGAAAACTTTTAAACTAAAATGAGTTTACAATGTAGATTTTTCTATTTATTTTTTTTTACTTTTCATTCCATTTATAAAAAATAGTTATTTCTCTATTATGTACATATCAAGAAATACCTGCAATAATGATAAAAGTCTACAACAATTGACTTGTACTCGTTCCACTGTGATTCACATTTTTTATATGCCTTTATCAAACCATATTTATGTTGTACAAATAAATCTTCTTTATCTAAGCTTTGCAAACTTATACAACACTCCTGTCCTGATTTGATCTGACCTTTTTCTCGATTTGTCTTTAACATATAATAAAATTGTAACTATTTTGTAAATATGTGACAGTTTACATCGAACAATATAAATCATGATTTAACAAAATATATAAAATAATAAAACAGTTTATTCACTTTTAAATCCCAAATATGAACATTGCCAGTTGCAGTACCCGCATACAGATGTTCTATATTGGAAGTTACTTCAAAAAGAATAGTATGGACACTGCCCATATCACTCCGAAAAACGTATATTGGATCAGGAGGTAACATTGCCATTGGTACATAGGCTGCGTTCAGAAGACACAACCGTTGCGAACTCAACAGTGATCAGTCCTTTTATTTTCCTGAATGATATTTGGGGTAAGTTGTGATACATTCGTAGTACAGTCCATGGGCTGAACTTTATTTTCCCAGACCAAAAATTATTGACTTTTTTTATAACCAAGCATTTTTAGCGCACTTTACAGGTTAGTTTAACGCCATATTGACTTCTATACAAAATTCGTCCAATCAGTGGTGTCACTGCTTGTAAGGTGATGCACGTGACACGGTCATTTTGGCGGGATAATTCAAATGTGCTTGTAGAAAGGAATTACTTATTCAAAGCGAAATACGGATTCTGAGTAGGTTTGCTCTAGTACTGGACGCCCTGTACTGCCCTGAATAGAGGAAGCAGGGGGACGGCACTCCCGTGTTAACGAATCGAACAGTGTTTGTAGCCACCACAGTTAAAAACCGGAAGTGGTAAACTAAACTGCAATATAGCGGGTGTTTCAAATAAAAAATGAATACTTAGAAAGTTAGTCTGGCCAAAATTTTCTTACGATTTTTCATATTGTCTAAATTTATAGAGAAAATATGAAAAATATTTGTTTTTTTTCATATTTTCTCAATGAAATCAGACAATATCAGAAATGAAAAAACTTATTGTGTAAGGAAATTCATAAAAGGTGAAAGAAATAATTGTATACAATGTATATGTGGTAGTAACTAAATTTATTTATGATCAAAAGCAGAAAAAAAGAAAAATTTCCAACAAAATACTCGCTTGACCAATTCTTTATGGCTCAAAGAAAGGAGTTTTTGATTTTTGACCGCAGCAACCCATTTTTGTGCTATATCTTCCTTTTGAGAAAAATGATGCGAAGGATCTTTAGATTTAGATGGACACTGAAGAACAACACACGTGGACTGATGTTTGATGTCGCTCATTGTGGATATTACAACACAAAATTTTGTTCTATTCAATCTAAAATAATTATAAATGAAATACGTGGTTAGTTTATTAATCAAACAGTTATGATTCAGTCAAAAAAGGTTAACACTATATTTCAAACAGTTCTAAAATTAACAATTGAAAACCTTTTATGATACGTTTATCTATCAATAAAGACTACACATACCCGAGTTTCAAACAAATCTGAAATATTACTCCAACAAATGTTCGATTGCGCGTAGAATGACCCGTACTGCTCTGCAAGAAAGTCAATAATTGAATTCAATGCATATTGTATGAATTTTTTATCTAATATTAATAATCTAAGATAAAATAATTGGACAAGTTGCAAATTATTTGTTACACATGCCGAAACCGAATAATATAAGTGAATTATTAGGAACACTTAAACAAATTTATGTACGTAATTTTGATGTAGAAGAAATAAGAGAAAATGTATAGAAAAATAATAGAGACGGTTGAAATGTAGGGTACTAAAATTGAAAATGTATTATCCGAGGGATTAGAGGGAGCCAATCAGAAATATGAAGGTGAAGAGTTGAATGGCATAATTAATATGATTAGACGTGACATATGGTTAGAGCTGTATTATTGTCTAAATCACACACGAATCTTCATGATTTGATTAACCAGGCATATGATTTAGACAAAGAAATGAATAGAGGTAATGTAAATAAATCGTTATGAAATTCTCCAATTAGAAGTAGAGTATATATCATTGGAACATCAGGAATAACTTGTTTCCTTTGCAAGGAACCGGGTTATATTAAAAGAAATTGCCCAAAAAATAATGAAAAATCTCTTTATTCAGAAAAAGTTCGATATACATTTTGTAAAAAGTTAGGTCACAGTGAATCTCAATGTTTTCGGAAAATTAATAGGAGTCATCCTTATCAAAATTTCTCACAAGATCAGAAAGAAAATCCTTTAAATTTCAAAGCCGGATCGCAAAACGGTGTGACGCGATCCGAACCCCTAATTGTTCGCGCCAAATGTCATCAGTCTGTCTTAAATTAAATACAGAAAGAATTGGTCGACTACCCATACTGACATTACCTCATCAAATTTTCTGCAATGGATCTGCTACTTTCCTTGTCGATTCTGATTGTCAGGTGAATCTTATTAAAAGGGAAGGAGTTCTAGAGCATATTCTTATAGACAATAGTATCTTTTGAGAGAGGTTATCATTCCTATTCAGAATGTAGATAATAAATGCCAGATTATAAGTGATAGCTTTCCTATAAAACGAACTGGAATATTAGGTATACCATTTCTGGAAGCACAGAATGTAACTGTTAATTTTCGAAGGAACTTACCTAATATTTTCAAAATTGGAGATGTTGAGAATCCACTCGAACGAACTTCTTCTGTTATTGTACCACCGAGGACCAAGGTTCTCGTAACCGTCCCGGTCAAGGAGTCTTCTTTTAAAAGTGGATATATTAAGAAATTAGACACTTCACCTGGAGTCCATCTTGGTGAAGTTTTAGTTACTCAAAAGAATGGTTTTACTAAAGTTTACGTTATAAATACAATTGAAGAATCCGTACCTCTTACAATTCCTGAGGTTGAGTTAGAAGATTCTGAAATTAAAAATCCAGTACCCCGTTCAGCATGAACTGGAAATACTAATTTGGGTAATGCTCAGGCAGATGCTTCCAGACTTTCTGAATTGATTAAAGCTCTTGATCTGAATCATTTGAATGATATTGAAAAGACTAGCATTTTGGAAATATTAAATAAATTTCCGTTTCAATTTCATTTATCAACTGATAAATTAGGTTCAATTTGTTCAGTTTCCCATGTTATACACACAACAGATGAAATTCTGATTAAGACCAAGCAATATAGGTTTCCTCAAATTCATAAAGCCGAAATCCAAAAACAGGCCAATTCTCTTCTTGAAAATAAAATTATACAAGAATCTAAGTCTCCATACAATTCTCCAGTTTGGATAGTTCCAATAAAATCTGATGCCTCTGGAGAAAACGTTGGAGAATGGTAATAGATTATAGGAAATTAAATGAAAAGACGATTAATGACGCTTACCCTCTTCCAAATATAACTGATATATTATATCAGTTCGGAGGTACACAATATTTCAGCACACTTGATTTAGCGTCAGGATTTCATCAAATTCCCGTAGATAAAAATTCCAAAGTAAAAACTGCCTTTTCTACACCTCATGGGCATTTTGAGTTAAACCGAATGTTCTTTGGTTTGAAAAATGTTCCCGCGACTTTTCAGCGATGTATGGATCTAGTATTGTCTGGACTTCAAGGCGTTGATCTCTTTGTCTACATGGATGATATAGTCATTTATGCTGATTTTTTAAATGACCATTCACGGAAATTAACAATTCTTTTCTCTCGATTACAAAATGGTGGAATTACTTTGCAACTAGGCAAATGTCATTTCCTCCATAAGGAATTAATATATCTAGGGCATTGTATTTCCAGCAATAGCATCAGTCTTTACCACATATAGTCAAGTTAAAGTTTGCAATTTGAAAGTAAAGGTTAATTTACTACATAATTCAGATGATGAAGAATATTTCACAGCCGAAGAAGATGAAATAGATAGTAATGTAAGGAATTCAAATTATGACAAACATCGTAAATCCTGCTTCGACTCGGGAGTCTGTTGGCTAACGGTGACTTCTCCGGAACAGATTCAGGCACCGTTAGGGGTAAGGGTTCCGATGATCTAAGGTGCCCTCGGTTTGTCAGATTGATTGGCTAACGGATTTTCCAATTAAAATTAAAATTAAAACAAAAACACCACTCATTGGACGAATTTGGTATAGAAGTCAATATGGCGTTATATAATATAAATGATAACTTTTGATATCATAACTTTTGAACCGCTGGATTCCTAAACTCAAAACTTGCATTTTTAGATTCTACTTGTTGAATACTACCAGAAGATATAAAAAAAGTCAATAATTTTTAGTCTGGGAAAATAAAGTTCAGCCAAATAAATAAATAGATAAGTGAATAAATAGCGAACTAGTCGTAATAAAAGGTATATAGTAATTTATAGTAATCTCGCGAGACTTCGTCGAAACTCGGGAAACTTTGGCCGCGCGACGGTGCGCGAGACGACTTAGCCGAATTTCAAACAATAGTTTTTTAATAATTTTATTAAGTTATTTCACTTTATATTAATAAAGTTCGGTCCAAATGACCGACGCGCCTACTAACGGAAGTGTAGTTGGCGCGCCTACCCCCGGGTTAAGTGTTTCGGTGGCAGGTTACGTGGCTAGGAATGGCCAATGTATTTTGCGGCTAGTTGTTGTTGGATCCTTAGTGCTATCCGTGTACCAAAATGGGCAGATAAACTGTACATTTTTTATATTTTTAAATAGTTTTATGTCGTATGAAGAATGAAAATTTCAAATTTGAAGGGTGTTTGGCGTTACATTTGTATAAAGCAATTTAGGCTTAAGAAACCGGAGGCGCGTTTATGACCAGTGCACCCTAGCACAACAATACAGCGATCGAGGCACGCGGGCCCATTGTAACTCGAAATTAACTTTACTAGCGGTCAATGGTCATAACCTAGGATTTTTGGGACAGCTGACAAACACGTGTTTCTCACCTGTAAATATCCTAATCATATTAGTTTTCAGCAGCTAATTTCTAGCAATCCCAAGACGCCCTTAGAAAAAGAGAAAGAATGACAGTCCGTCTTTTCTGCCATCGCGCCAAATTTCGCCACACCCACACCAACAGACACGGCCAATCACCCTCAAACATACCTTCTCCATTACACACTGCATTCAATACATAAAGGCAGAACTTAGACAGACTACAGAGAACTCACACAACAACCAACACGTTCACATCACGATCAGTATTATAACTCGATATAATTTTACATCTTGTAAAATAAAAAACTCGTTAGTACAGTAAATATATTCAATATTTGTCATCTCTTCGATCCTCCACTCCGAGTATTAGTTTACTCTAAGAGCGCGACACATCCGATCGGTTGCACCTGACCGATCGTCATTTTGCGTCGCAACAAAGGGTATAAAAGCTATGGGTAAATATTTAG